GGGTGGGCGGAGAAAAGGAGGGGGAGATTTAACCACAATTGCAGGAGTGACTGTCTCTCTGAGAGCAGTGACTTGGGCCAGAGCTGGAGAACAATAAGACTGTACGGCTCAAAGAGAGGRGGTTGTATCCACATTCCTCTCAGAGGCCACCTGAGCATTGCAGATTGAGCAGTCAGAATCAAACCATCCAGAAACAGAAAGCACTTAAAAAAATCATCCTATGTGATTTGTCCAAGATCATGCAACACAATCCACAGAACTCAGGGTCTTAAGCCTGAGGATGTGCTTGGGGGAACATCACAATGGGGTCAAAACTCCTCTGCCACATTGTGAAAGGGAGAGGAGACACACCTAGAGTTCTGGTCTGAAGTGGGGAGGAATGGCCAGAGCCATTTATTTTGACAGAATCATTGCCTAAAACATTTTCTGCAGACCTTATTTACACTGTGAAGTTTTGAACATCAGTTTCACCCAGAGGAAAAAGAAGATATTTATATTTAATGGCCAACATTTAGGCTCCTTTAAAATGAGCTGAGAGGTTGCAGTTGGAACAGAAAGAAAACCCTAACTGCCCTGGCACAAAGCAGCACTCCTGCCATTGCAGGGAAGCTGGCATCTAATGAGACTGAGGTTTTGGGTTCAACTCAGCCCAGATTGCACCCCAGCACCAATATGCCAATCTGTGGATGGCATCAAGGCAGTTCCCAGGAAGCCCTGTGGATTTGAAGGAATTCCCATTTGTGTGCCCTGGGAAGATGGATGAGGAGAGGGAGAAGGAGAGAGAATGAGAAAAAAAAAAACAAAAACCCTGTGTAAAGATAGATCGACACATTTCCAGATTTTCAGGACATCTGTCAGCAAGCCCCAGAGTGTATGGCAGCTAATCCCTTTGCAGATTTTCTTTTAACTGTTGCTTGACAGAAGAGGATGCCAATTTTTTTCATAAATGTACCCACATCTGATGTTGCTCTCTGCCTGAGGTTATGATCTATCTGCGAGGAAAAACATTTATACTACCACCTTGGGAGACCACATTAGGGAAGCATCTCTCTGAGAAACACATAGCAGCTTCAAGCTGTGGAGAATGTGCAGAGTGAAGGATGCTTCCTGAAGATGAAGAAGGGCAAGGTGTCTACCTGACTGGATACCTGCAGTG